AAAATACAGGTAACATGACATATAATGAGGATGTGTGTAAACAACCTATTTATTCAAGCTAGTTTGCATTCATTTATCCAACATTATACATGGGACAGCAACCAGTAACTGGATTCCCTTAAACGTATTTTCTTTCATTCCAGGTGACTGATTCCTTCATTCCCCTCACCATCTGATAAAACATCATTTATCATGAGAACATTTCTTAAATCCTGGATTCCTCAGTGTTTGTGGATTCTCAGGTCACCTTCCAGAACATTCCATGGAAACAACAGGCTTCTTACATCTCCGATTGTTTCCCATTATGAATCTATAAACCAGGGTGAAAAGGAACTGCCAGAATATTTCAACTTTGCAAGTGATGTCTTAGATAAGTGGACACAAGTGGAAAAGGTAGTATTTGTCTTTTATTTTATAGACACTGAATTGTAGGTTAACCCCAGGTGTCAGCTAAGAACCACAGAGCCCCTGGATCTCACACACACACACATATACATCCAGTGGGATGGGGAGGAGAATCAGGAGAAAAAAAAGGTAAAATCCCTGAGTTGAGGAAAAAAACAGTTTAATAATTGAAATATAATAATAACCATCATATTAGTAGGAGTAGTAGCTCACTGCCCACTGATTGATGCCCAGCCCATCCCCAAACACCTCCCAACAAACTTCCTCCCAGGTTATAAACTGAGCAGGACCTCCTGTGATGTGGAATATCCCTTCAGGCAATTCAGGTCAGCTGTCCTGTCCATGATCTCTCCCAGCTTCTTGAGCGTCTCTTTGTTGGTGGAGTGTGGGAAACTGGAAAATCCTTGACTTAAAGTAAGCACTGCTTAGCAACAACTAAAACATCAGTGTGTTATCAACACTACACTGATCCTAAATTCATAAACCACAGCACTATACCAGGACACAGTAAGAAAATTACTCTATTCCAGCCAAAACGAGGACACAGTGGGAAGAATCTCAGACAATACAAATCCGTTTTCCTCATGGGTACTAGGCAGTATTGGCTGCAGAGTGGAAAGCACTATTTTATTTTGTTTATCAGAAATACAGGTGTCACCCTAAGAGAGTGATTGCCAGGGATGATTTGCTTCATTTAGAGTTATTTTCTATTGAAGTAAAACCTTTTAAAGTTTTTCTTATTTTAATGTCTTCTCGTGTCTTGTAGCGTGGAAAAAAACCAGTGGGCTTCCCAAAAATGGTGCTGCATTCCTACAGCAGTTACGGCATTGGATTTGCAACCACTGGCAGGTATTACCTTGCAGTTCCTCCCAGGATCCTGACTAAGTGCTGTGATCAGCATTAAACTGAACCTGAGACCGTAACATTCCAGTAAATGTAGGCATTTCATGACTGTAGGATTTGCACCTTCTTCATCTTTCTGCTCTCATGGTAAAACCCTTGTTACTAAAAGCTTCTTGAAGGCCCAGTTGAGCTCATCATGTTCCGAGCTGTGTCACTTGCAGGGCTGAAAGCAGAGGAGCAATAAGGAAAGTGTCCCTACAACCACACCAGAAAAGGTCAAGTGCTCTCATGCTGGTTCAACCTTCCCTGAGAGCCAAAGAAACCTTGGGCCATTTCATTATACCTCAAAAGTTAAATCTGTGGTTTGGTACTGATTTGTTTTCCCTGAAAGTTTTTTCCATCTCTGCTTTTTCATCAGGTATTGGCTGGACTTGACTCCTTCAGATATAATGTGGAATACCTCTGATACTGGCTGGGCAAAATCAGCCTATGGCAGTGTTTTTTCACCATGGATCTGTGGAGCCTGTGTCTTTGTACACAGTATGCCACAGTTTCAACCAGAAGTTATTGCAGAGGTGAGTGAGTAATCCCACATCCCAAGCAATCCAAAGTTACCAGAGTGTCTCTTCCTCTCCCCAGCTCTTTTTCTAAACCACTCAGCTGGATGATTCTCCTCAGCATTGGCCTCTTGTGTGGGGCGGAATCCTTGACTTTCCCAAGAATAATACTGGAAAAGCTGTGGTATAGTTTCCTATCACCAATTAGGCTTGAGCCTGAGACACAGACACCTTGGAAAACCCTCAGGAAACCCCTTAATTGGAACTACTGTTCTCACCGGTCTTTCCTTTGCATGAGTGACTTCTGTTGGACAGAAAGTTCCATATTATGCAGGAGTTGGACTGTCTGGTACAGCATTTTAGGGTTTTCATCTTGCAGACATTTGAGCATGTAAATTCTGTTAATCACCTGCACATTCACAAGGTCAGACCCAGCATTACACTTTTTTTCAGCACAATAACTTCCTGTTTTTCTAGACTCTATCAAGATATCCCATCACCACCTTCTGCACAGCTCCCACTGCCTTCCGCATGTTGGTCCAACATGATGTGAGCAGGTACAGCAGGGACAGGAGGGAGGCTGGGGTATACTGCTGGGACAGCTCTGCATGGTTAGCTCCTTAGGTTCCTTAATTCTCTTTTTCAGTTCAAGGAAACCTAATTAGCAAAGCTTGCTCTCAGTAAAGAAGCTCTCCGTTTTGAAATGTGAGAAGAATTAGCCACACCATAGGCTACTTGGGCTTCAGGACTGGGTCTTTGAATAGACAGCACAGAGGAAAGAAAGGAGATTTGTTTAAGCGGTCACTTCCTCTGAACTTAGGCTTCACAGTTCAATTTAAGTCATTGTTTTAGGCAGCATTGGATCAGGGAGTTACTGGTGCACCATGGAGTTGTTCTCATATGTTTGGCAACGAAGGGAGCAGTTAGAGGAGTTCCACGTGCTGAGAGTTATTTGGCAGCTGTTCCCACCAGTTTGTCACTCTGTAAAATACCCAGCTTGTGAGAAGTGGTTTGTAAGGAGCTTTCACATCTTTGGTAAGGTACTCATTCTTGTCACATAGGTTTTCATCCTGCCAAAAGCCAACCCAGGTTTAGCAGAGAGCTCAGGCTCTGTCTTCCCATTCAGCTTTTCCTTCAGTCTTAAGTGTACTTGGAAAGCTGAGCAAGTCTGTTTAGTTAAGGCTGCTCACTACTCATTTTAGGAGTTAAGAAAATTATTTCATTTGCTTTTCCTCTCAAGCTACAAGTTCCCGAGTCTGAAGCACTGTGTAACTGGAGGGGAAGCACTGAATCCTGAAGTGTTTGCAAAGTGGAAAATCCAGACAGGGCTGGATATCCATGAAGGTTATGGCCAGTCCGAAACAGTACGTTTGCATTAATTCTTGTAGAATACCCATTCAAAGGTAAGAATACCACAGCCACAATGTCCTTGATAAATCAATGGAAAAGGTGAGAATCACTTATACCATTTAAAAAAAAAAAAAAAAAAGACTTTGTATAATTATGATTATACAGTTCCAGAATCAGCAAGCTGCATATTCTAATGATTTAGACCCCTGCAAAAACCATGCCAGAGACACTTCAGATCAAATAATTGTAGGAGATCCCTTTGTCATCTTTACTTCAAAAAATCCCTGAAAATATGATTTGCTCCACCTATCAATTTGGCCTGTCTGAGTTTTTAATGGTAAATATTAAACCAGCTCACATCCCAGACTTCTCTGTAAGTGAACATTAACAAAACTATTAAGAGCCAGATCTCAGGCTTTCTCTCATTTTGCCCTTGAAATGGTCCCAAATTAATTGTCCCAGTATGGAAATAAGATCTGTAATAATAATCTGCTGTCCTGCAAAATAAATGTCAAGTGTTTGCAGGACAATCCACTGGCTCAGACTCAACAAAACAAAGCTCTCACAGGTCTGACTTGAAATGCCTCTCAACCCCTCTCTGATGTTCTCAAAAACCCACAGTGCTTTGGTCCTGATTCAGCCCTTGTCACAACAAAGTCATGGAAAGATGCCTTATGCAAACAATAATAAAATTTACAAGATGTTGCAACAATTTAAAAAAAATTTTGACAAATCTATTCTGCAGGTGGACTAAGTATCAACTTCCTTGTATGTACTAGGCTTCCTTGGAATTCAATATGTTGCATATTTTTGAAATTAGACAGGCTAAATTTTTTTAAATCCATATCTTAGTGGATCTTACAATATCAGAATTCTTTCTTTCTTTGCAGGTTTTCACGTGGGAAAATAGTTTAGCTTTTCAGACTGATACAGACATTTTTGTCTAAGCAATGAAATTTTTATTATTTATTGTTTTGTCACTTAGTGCACTGTAGCAATGACATCCAGCGTGTTTAATATTTGGTTTATATTTTCTACATTTGCAACATTTCTTTGAGCAACAGAGTCAAGATTTTCAGCTTTATTAGTTTATAATGTTAGGGGGAAAAAAGCTGGAAATATAGAAAAAATCCTCTGCTCCAGACTGGGTCCTTGATAGCCAGCATTCTGTAATAAACAGCTAATGAAAAGGGAAATTAAAGAAAAAGATCAAATTTTGGCATTCTGAATTTTGACACTAGCTTTCCACAACAGAAGTGAAAAGTCTTTATTGCCAGCTCTGGAAGTTAATGGAACCCCTTCATTTTTGTGGCACAGGTGGTCAAAGCCTTCATTGTTTTAGCTCCTGCTTTTGTATCACATGATCAAAAAAAATTAACTCTTGAACTTCAACAACATGTCAAGAAGGTGACTGCACCATACAAATATCCAAGGAAGGTAAGCACAGCCCAAAAAGACAGGCTCTCTCATTGTACCAGACAATTGTGCATTTTTTCTCCTGCCTCAGCTCTTTTTCAACAGCTTTCTGAAAACACTCCAACCAGAATTAGATAAAATAAAAGTAGATGCCAGGGTCTGTTGCAGCTGTAGCCTTGGGTTGGCTGTGTGTGCTAGAATGGACGTGGGGGGAGGCAATGGTCATGAGATTTTAGTTCATGAGGGCCCAGTCTTTCTTTCATGGAGTACTGGGCTTTTCACAGCAGCTCAAGTGGGCAGGGCATTCAGTCAGCATTTCTTCATCCCAGCCCTGCCTCTGCAGCTTCCTATCCTTTTATCCCCAACCATAATGAAAGTGTGTCTTTTCTTCAGCCGGGGATTTAAACAGGATGTATTTTTGCCTTTCAGATGGAGTTTGTTCAGGATCTGCCAAAGACGGTTACTGGGAAAATCCAGAGAAATGTTCTAAGGAGCAAAGAGTGGGCAAAAGTAAAAAAATAGTAAGAGTGATCAGGAAAACAAGGAGAGAAATATTCTATTACCTGTACCAACCATAACTCATCAAACATGGCACATGTTTATGACCCAGAACACATGGAAACATTGCGAAAAACAAACTGTGGAAGCAAAAGTAGAAAACACTCAGAAAAAGTGTAACTGCAACTCTTAGATACATACAAATAAAAGAGAAATTAATAAAAGTAATCTTTGTCCTGTGGTATCAGCAGCACATTGATATATTCTTGTCAATAACTACCACTGTAACATTCTAAAATTCTTTCAGAGTGGAAAGAAAAAAAATTTCTTCTTAATGCTTCTCTTCATCATGATGAATTTGTGATGTACTTAAATGGTTAAAGTTGAGGCAAAAGAAGACCCAAAATGCTTTAGGTTAAGGTGCAAATTACACACAATTAACAATGGTGTAAATGATTACAAGAAAAAAGTTACCCCACAGAAAGAGTTCTGCTGCTCGTTCACAGCAACAATTCTGCAATTTTCTTATATAGTGTACAGCATCTAGACACAGTCTTCTGCCATGAAGCTGCTGTTGAAGTTACAGAAACTAAAACTCTTGTGGACTCTGAAACCTCCTAATAGGACTTTCCATGGACATCCCAGGCTGCTTTCCTCTGATGTATATTCCCAGTATGAGTCCATCAGACAGGGCAAACAGGAAATACCAAAGTACTTTAACTTTGCAAGTGATGTACTGGACAAATGGTCTGAGATTGAAAAGGTAGGTGATCTTCTGTTGTGCCAATGAACTACTTTAATTTTAAATTCCATTTGGAATAAGCTGGGTTTTTTTCTTTATAAAAACAATCAGTTGTCAAAACCAAATTTGCATTAGGAAATTATAAAAAAGTTCATTCTTTCTTGCTTTATGTATTGTTATTTTGTAGGAGCATTAATGCACAGTAAAAGGCTTAAACTGAAATAGGATCCAGACTAGGACTTGGGTCTGGAGACAATTAGGCTGGTAAACATTTCAGGTCCAGAAAAGGAGAATCTATTGGGAATACCAGGGCTTGATGAATAGTAAATCTTGATCCTTTAAGGACAAGAACAAAAAATAGCTTATATGCTAGCTGTCAAATTCTCAGATCTTCCATAATTTACAGATGTCTGTGCATTATTATTTCATGGTCTTTCAGAAGAAAATCTTTTATGTTTAAATTCCTATGTTTTGTAGGCTGGAAAGAGACCATCAAACCCTGCTTTCTGGTGGATAAATGGAGAAGGAGAAGAAGTGAAGTGGAGCTTTGAGGAGCTGGGGTTCCTGTCTCGGAAAGTGGCCAATGTACTGACTAAAGAATGTGGACTGCAGAAGGGAGACAGGCTTATCCTGATCCTACCACGAATTCCAGAATGGTGGCTGGTCAAGGTGGCTTGTATGCGAGCAGGTCAGTGAGGTCAAATGGTCACTGCAAATCAGTTGAGAGGATCAAGAATGGATATGGTTTATCGAGGAAAAATAGTGTAATAATCCAGTGAGTGGACTGGCTGCCAGGCAGTCCTAAAGGGTTTTCACTAGGGGCCATAGGAAACGTAGCTCATGCAGTGGGCAAGAAGATGCCAGAAGGCATGGAGGGACCATGGAAGTCACCAGGCAGGTCCACATTTCATTCCTGACAGGAGAGCACAGGCGTCTGCATTAATCTAATCTAACTGTTTGGCTGGGGAACACCAGGGCAAATCCATATCAGAGATCAGTTTGGAAATATTTAGTAGCTTAGGTTCTTAGAAAAGAATCAGACATAGAAAAAATGCCAACACAAACTAACTTTATCTCTCCTCCAGGAATTGTCATAATCCCAGGAACATCCCAATTATCAGCCAAAGATATACTGTACCGACTCCAGGCATCAAAGGCTACATGCATCATTACCACTGACAGACTGGCTCCTGCAGTGGACTCGGTGGCATCCCAGTGCCAGCACCTGAAAACCAAGCTAATGGTGTCCAAAGGCAGCAGGGAGGGATGGCTGAACTTTACTGAGCTGTACCAGTGAGTATGACTGAGTGCCACTGCAGTCACGAGGACAAAGCAGAACCTGTTCCCACAAGCACTCATTTATATCAATTACAACCATTGAAGTTATAATGACATTCTCCTTTTTACAGAAACCAATCTGCTGACCATTCCTGCATCAAAACAAGGATTCAAGACCCACTGATTATCTTCTTTACGAGTGGAACTACAGGTTCTCCAAAGATGACTCAACATTCCCAGGGTAGTCTTGGTTTCAGACCCCTTTTAAGTGAAAGGTATGAAAGAGTTAAGCCTGGTTGAACATAAGGTAATTGAAGCTGCATGGTAGAGCTATTGTAAAAAATTTACTGAATAAGAAATACCAGTGTACCTCCCCAGCCTTTCTCCCTTTGAAATCAGAGTAAAAACCCCATCAAATGGCTAGGTACTAGGATCACCCCAGAGTCTTCTCCCGGTTAATATCTCTTACCCTCTTTCTGGGTATATTTCATAATCCCTTTTTTTTTTTCCCTGTCAGGTACTGGTTGGATTTGACTCCCTCTAACATGATATGGAACACTGCAGACACAGGATGGATACTAACTTCAATAGCATCTTTTTTTGATCCTTGGGTTTTCGGATCATGCGTCTTTATACATAACCTACCACAGACTGACTCAGAAGTTATCCTAAACGTAAGGGAAAAACTCATGGAAATGTAATCATCTGCAGAAAGCATGCCAAAACCAATTCTTGACAGCATCCACAGATTTCGTGGAGGTTGTGTTTATAGCAGTTTGAGATATTGTATTTGTTGTGTAAAGCCCTACTTTCATTTTTTATGTATACAGAAGGGAACAAACATGCAATCCATTCATACATTTTGCTCATAGCTGGTGAGTATGTGAACAAAAATCATCCAAAAGCAGCATTAAATGCCTGCCATTCATTCTAGTGACTGTGGAAATAGTATCAGTGGGTATTAATGCAGAAATGAAGAGTTTCTGTGCCCACACCAACCAAGATGAAAATGAACACCTCCCTATGATGTAGATAGAGGAGGAACTATTCTGGCCATGCCCTAAACTGTGGGGTCCTGGTGTCAGGTAGATGTGTTAGCATGGGATTTTTGTAATCAAATCTACAGTCTCTGCATATTGCACCAACTGCAGGAGGGTTCCTCACCCAACAGAGGTGTGGTGCTTTTACATAGGGGGCAAATGTACTTCTCCTGTCTGTGTCACCTATTTACTGTACATTCCAAAGGCAGTTTTTTGTCTGAGCTTCACATGTTCTTCTTCTTGTTTAACCCTCTAGACTCTCTGCAGATTCCCAATTGACACCCTGGTTGGTGCCCCAACATTGTTCCGCATGCTGGTGCAAAATGATCTGTCCAAGTACGTAAAAAAATTATTTAGTAATGTTTAATTTACCCTAACTGAACTTAGTCATCTCCTATATTTAACTGCTCGACCCAAAATAGGGTAATAATTTGGTTTAAAATATCCTTTATGAGAAGACCAGCATGCAAAATTTGAATTTTGCTGAGGTTTTTGATAGAGAAACTTGATGTTTTCCGTCAGAAATGTGAGACTTATGCTACTTGTGAGTATGAAACTGAGAGTCTGTTAAATACTTTGTCATAATTTTTGTCTACCACATTAATTGTCCAGACTTTGGGAAAGACTTCATCCTAGAAAGTGCACATCAGCATAACTGTGAGGAAATTATTTGTTGTGGCAGTTGTACCTCCTCCCTATTCCAGTTCTCACTGCCTGTCGTTGTTCCTTCCTTCCCTCTTGAGCTTTCTCGCTTGGCCTGTTGCAGAGGGTCAGCAATCAGGGCCCTGGCTCAGCAGATAAGTATTTGGTTATTTATAATCCCAGCTGACTTCAGCAAAAATTTTATTTTTCACATGTTGAACTCTTACTGCTACTTATGTAGAGTGTTGAGCACAGTGATATCCTTGTTGTGTCCGGAGCAGAAGGATCAGGGCCCCTCTGATTTCCCCATTTCGTGGCACTAACTCTCCCAGTAAACAGCTCTCCCATGGTGTTCACCTTTGTGTGCTCCCTCTAGATTTAAGTATTGCCTTTCTTGTTTTCAACTCCCTGTGAAGATACAAATTCATGAGCCTGAAGTACTGCATGAGTGGAGGGGAACCACTCAACCCAGAAGTCATGGAGCAGTGGAAGAACCAGACTGGGCTGGACATCCAGGAAGTATATGGCCAGACTGAATTGGTACATCTGTAGGGACAATAGCCTATTATATCCCTGGAATTTCTTTTTGCTGTAAGGTTTGTTTTGTAAGAACACAGTCTGTTTCCTCCACATTTCTGAGAATGTTTCAGTAATTCCCTTCCCTGGTAACCTCTGAAATAACTCCCTCTCATGGCTCTCCTCAGAAGAACAGAACCTGCCAGAAACATGAGGGTTTGGGAGGGAATGTGCTGTAATATTTCCACAAGTGTCCTTAAGCTAATTCCAAGTAACAGTGTCAGTCAAGAGGGCAGAGTTGGAATCTAAGGGAAGAAGACTGGTTGTCAGAGGACATGAATTTTTCACAGAGAATGGAACAGGATTCTTTCAGGGAGTTTTATGATTTTGCTTATCCCTACCATACAGCACTGATATACAAGATCCTATGAATCTTAATTCCTTACTTTAGAATTAGTCTAGAAACTACATTTAATGAACTAAGTGTGAATGTAGAAATTTTCTTTTGAAAAGCTTTGGTTTAATTTTGATTTTTTACAGGGAGTAATCTGCTCTGTTCATAAAGGAATGAAGATTAAACCTGGATCAATGGGGAAAGCAGTTCCCCTTTATGATGTTCAGGTTCGTTGACTGCTCTTTAGATTCTGTCATGGGGGATTTTTTGTTTGGTTGGATTTGTGTTTGGAGTTTGTTTTTGCATTGGACTAAAATAAGAACTGTTTTTCATCCTAGATCATAGACAAAAATGCCAATATCCTGCCTCCAGGACAACAGGGGGAAATTGCTGTCAGAAGCAAACCTATAAGGCCACTTGGTTTTTTCTCTGAATATTTAGTAAGAACTTTATTTTATTCCTCGTCACCACTACCAATCTCCCCAAAAGCTCTCCATTTGCATAATGGTCCTAAAGACTGGACATTTTCCACCATTTTATTATTTATTACTGGAGTAATTTGTTTATTTGAATTGGAGGGTGTTAAAAAAGGAAAGAAAATAATTTAGGATCAAGTCAAATTTTTTCTTAAAAAATAAGCATTATTTAAAACCTGTTTTATTGTATCTTATAGCAATATCAGTACATCCTTTACTGAAAAATTAAGTTCCAGTGCATTTGATATTATGTGTGTTATAACATAATGAAAAGCTAATACATGCTCAAAATCTAAACTACTGCTTGTAAACCACTTTAAGGATAACCCTAAGAAAACTGCAGAAAGTGAACGTGGGGATTTTTACGTCACTGGAGACAGAGGGACTATGGATGAAGAGGGATATTTCCAGTTTATTGGCAGAGATGATGACATCATAATTTCTTCAGGGTTAGTCTGCACACACCCATTCCAAACCTGCCATTGTATGTTGTCACATCTTGTGTTGTATATTCTTACATGTGAGCTTCTGGAATCATAATCCTGCGACAGGAATGAATTGACATCTTGATTTTGGAATCCTTGCTGTTATTATTAGCTTTTCACAGACCTGCAGTATCATCTCTGTGATGATACTGGATCCTTTTCCCCTGCAACATCTTGTGTGTTTCAGCAAAGGATGAAGACTTCAGTTGGCAAAGGAGGGATGTTTATCTGGTTTATTATTTTACTAAAATTGAAGGAACCTCTATTGGATTCAAACAGCTTTTGAAACAATTTTTAACATGTTGAAAGGAAAGAACTTGATATTGTACAATGTGACTCCATAACCTGGCACAGGCTGCTGCTGCTGCAGACCCCAGCTACAGGGTGGGATGGAGCTCCAGCCTAAGAGCCCCAAGGAGAGAGGACAGATGGAGAAGTATCCACAACCCCAGCAATCCTCTGCCACAATGACCACCATGAAATGCTACTTTTAACCCAGCCAACTGTCCCATTTTGCCTAAAACTTTTATAGCTGGTTATTGATTTGTTCTGGCTTTGGTTTTTTTCTTCAACATGAAAATTTACAAACTTTTGGTACTGTTTTTTCCAGACAAAAAACGAGAGCCAAACATAATTTTTATTTTTCCTTACCTAGGTATCGCATCGGGCCATTTGAAGTAGAGAGTGCCCTCATAGAGCACCCAGCTGTGGTAGAAACAGCTGTTGTCAGCAGCCCAGACCCCCTCAGAGGAGAGGTAAAGGTGCTGAATGGAGGGGGGAAGGCAATGCATTTGTCCAAATACATAATGATATCAAGGAATTTCTACTTATTGAAAAACTGACAGCTCTAAGGCAATGTCATCTTAGAATCATGGAATTGTTTAGGTTGGAAAATACCTCTGAGATCATTGAGTCCAGCTATGAACCCAGCATTATCAGGTCTACAAATACACCATGTCCCTAAGCACCACATCTACTTCCATCATGGATAATCCTAGTGGGGCTGACAAGCAAATCCCTTCCCATTTACATGCCTTTGCTCTTCTGAGTTTCTTTTCATCCCAAGGTCTTCTCAGTGGAGAACACTACTGTGATGTTTACTTTGCCCTTATTTTTTAGCATTTGTCTGTACACTTAAATTTATGACCCTTGGTGCTGCCAAAGTTCTACTGCACTTGCCCAAGAATTAGACATGGGCTGCAGGTGTGGTAAATGCACAGTCCTGTGCCAGGATAACACAGGATTACTGTTCTCAGTGTGAACTTCAGAGAGAAATAAAATGTTCCTTACCCTCAGAGAGAACTCCACAGAGACACATTTTATTGCCCCTTCCTCTCGGCTGCTGCTGAGAATAAAGGGAAAAGGCTCTTATTTGTAATGAGGGCACACAAACTGTCCTTTAAACTTTCCTTTCTGCACATACACATGCAGAAGCTGGGCACAATCATTTCTTATCCTGTGCTGGTTTCTCTGTTCCTTATGACTCTTGTGACTCTGAGCAGCACTGCTCACTGGTAACTGCGCATCAGCCCTTAAAAAACAGATTGTATCAGATCACTTTTGTTAATTTTACCTTACAGGTTGTGAAAGCATTTGTGGTTCTATCCCCAACATTTTCATCCACTGACCTGAAGAGCTTAATTCGTGACTTGCAGGACCATGTCAAGAAAACTACTGCTCCATATAAATACCCTAGAAAGGTAAATATTTATGAGGAGAAACTTTAAAACAGGGCACCCTTCCCTAAATCTCAGGAGAATTACCATTTAGATTTTCATGATTCACTTGAAAGCGACAGCAGTAAAGATTAATCTAGACCACTGGCTCCAGAAGATCTTTCCTAAATAACATTAGTTTAGATTGTTTTTCATGAATTTGTGTAAACTACTTGTTCAAACTTCTCAAAATTGTCTAGGTTTTGTATATCCCAGTTAGATCTCCATGTTCTAAGTCATACTCACAATCATAATTCTCCATTTTGTGTTTGACCTTCAAACAAGCACTTGCCCATGCCTTTAAGGTAGCGTATGACTGAATCTAAAGAAATTTTTTCTATTGATCATTACAACTAATAAACAGACACAAGCCCAAGAGGATTCACTTGGTGTTTCATAGTAATCCAAGCACCACAGGAAAAGAGCTACTGCAGTGCCTTAGCCAACTTGAGCAGAACTCGCAGCACTAAGAACCATTAAAGACTTTGGGGCTGTAACATCCTTTTCTTTCTTCTTTTTGTCATTCATCTCTGACCTCTGATACCATTCAGGCATCCATTGCCCTTCTGCTGTGAGTTACTGTACTCAGTTTGGTCAGCTGAGAGGCAGCTGTGCAGATGTTTGGCCATCTAGGCAGCCACAGGGATGGTCTCACACGTGGCACAATGTGCTTTCTGGTTTGGCTTGGATTTGAGGCAAGCAGCTCTTACTGATGGGAACCCTCTCAGTTTTCCACATATGCTTGGAGAGTCTTGGAAAACCAACTCTGTAGAACATGCTGTATTGCTTTCTCTCTTTATTTTATCTAGATGGAATTTGTCAAAGAGCTGCCAAAGACAGTGACTGGGAAGATCAAGAGGAATGAATTAAGAGACAAAGAGTGGGGACGGATATAGCTTTGTTTGGAATTTAACAGAACTTCTTCCATTCCATTAGCACTATATACATTTCACTACTATAACTGCCATCATTCTGATTTCGTTATGTTAAGTGTCTGAGCATCAAAAAACTACAGGTAACATCAAGATGTGATATTTGTGCCTGCTTGCAGAGTTTCCAATGTCAATACCTGACTGAATTGTATTATTCTGGGTTAAAAATAAAATTTTCAATAGACAACTTCAATAGCCTTTCCCTTTGAGACCTCCTCACCATCCCTCTTGCAGCCCAGCTTCCATTTGATGTTATTCTTGAGAGACAATAAAAAAATATGATGCCCACATTTGAAAAGGTACTTTATGTCATATATATTTTGATTCACTATTTCCTGAGAGTTTACCCTGACATCCAAAGTTTATGGAAAGGACATGGAGACTGGTGTGGTCACTATATAGGTTCCAAAAATGCAACATTATGAAGAAGTTGGAAAAGAACGTATTTTTTGGTGCCACTGGATAGTGGCAGTAAAAGTCCTAAAAATGCATTGTTACAGATGGGGGATTAGCAGTTTTATTGGATAGGTTCAAAATCCACATTTTTGGTGGTAGGATGAGAACCATGTGTAGGTATCCTTTCTTTTGAAAGTGTCTTGTCTCTTCCAAACACTAGCCAGGAGTGGAATTCTCAATGCAAGGCTGGAAGTATTCTGAAATAGATATGAACATAAGATCCCATCTTTTGCTTTAAAAACCCCTCTGAGATAAATGAAATTGGAATTGACATTATGTTCATTATGTGAGAAATAATCCTTTAATAAATGATGCTGTTATGCATAATGAGAAATTAGTAAGTTGTAGAAATTCATAGTATGTGCTTAATGTTGCACATATATATGGTGTATATAAATATATGTTTTTTGTATGCATTTGGCACATAAAATTGCTATGTTTGCATTAGTAAGAAAGTTAATATTTAGTTTTATGTCTTGAAATGCTTACTACATTTCCAGAATGGGTTTGGAACTTGATCCTTCAGATTTTCTGGATTGTGATTTTTGTGACTGCATGAGTTATTTTAGCCAGTCCATTGACCAGGAGCATTTTATAAGTGATCTACAACTTCATCTCCTTTCCCACAATACCAAAAGTTGGAATTAAGCTTTAATGAAAAACAGAGCAGCCTTTAGATGAGTTTGGGTTTAGTTATTCAAAAGGACTTCAGATTATTGGTATAAAACCAACTCCTCTGCTAATACTTGATCTAAGTCTAAATAGTCATCCTGTAAGAATAAAAAACTAACACAATTTATAAATAAAATGTACGTAAGCTTATCTGTTAGAAAAGGGTTTGTTATTGAAAAGATCAGGGTAGAATCTAAACGATCAGAGAAGGGGTCATTCCCCTTGTTTGGCCATCACACTCAAGTGTTAAAGATTCAGAACTCACCATCACAGTCTGAGCTTCCATCGGCTGTGGCAGAGCAACAGAGCTCAGCAACTCTAATTTGTTAATGGGTTCCTTGGCAGTCCTTAAAATCCAAAATAAAGTTGTCTTCAAACACAATCTCACAGGCTTCTAGTGAGTGTAAAAAATTAAATCCCCCATGGGAGCAAGTAGTTTGTTTAATGTGATTCTACCAGAAGAAAAGTGAACAAAATAAGGTTGTGCTCAAACCTGGCTGTAGCAGAGTTTTAAACTTCCCTTCCTTTTTCCTGTATTACAGCTTTGTTCTGAGAGACTAATTTTTCTCTCCTTCAGTCAGTCAGAACAGAAGGAAAACATGTTTGATATTTTCAATGTAATGTTGTATTTTAAATGTAATCCATTTTTGTACAGAATAATAAGAAATTGGATTAGATCTTTAAGTGCAATCGAAAAAAGGTTGAAAATGTGATCTGCTCACAATTTCAGCATCTGATTCTATTTAAGGGCATTCAGATTTCAAATGTGAGTACTTTTTGGAAAACTAATCCACTTTGAAGTGATCAGATTTTTAATGTAATACATTTATTCTATGTAAGTAATAAAATGTTTAATATAATTATGAACTTTGAAAGTAATTGATTGTAAAGCAAATTTTAATCCTACAACATGCAACATGTTTCTAGGTTTTTGGTATTGGTCTCTGCTGGGCTTTAAACAGACCTGCCTAGACCCTGAGCCCTGGTGGTGGCACAAATTGCTCATTCCAGCAGGGAAGGGCTTGTTCAGGAGCTTTCCTCTCTGCTGCAGCACAGCCTGCTCAGTCTGCACATGGGGTCAGACAGACTTTCCAATGTGTTCTTGCAGTTTTGCAATGATAACCTGAACCTGACCAGGAAAAAAGGAAGAAACAAACTGATGAATCAAAACATTTCTGTTTGATGTGTGGGCAGGAGCCTTTGCTCTGTCACACTGCCCAGGGTTCCAAGCAAACACACAAAGCCCCTCAGTGCTACCAAGGTTGTGCTCAGTTTCAGGGCTGTGTGATTGTCCTGCACTACTGACTTGAGGAGTTACTGAGTCAACCAATTGATATTCCTTGCTTCTCTAAAACAGAACTTACTTATTTTGTTGGGCGCTGGGAGTGATGTGCTGTCTGCCAGCTAAATCCTAAAAAGAGCCAAACTTTTAAATTTGCAGGCTTGCCACAGAAAAGGAGAACAGTTTGTAATGAAACTGCTAAGTTGTGTTGTTTTTTCTCTGTCCAGACGAGTTGGGGTTTGTTCAATAACTACCACAGATGATCTCTGGGAACATTCAGGGGAAGAAACTGAGAAACACAGAGTGGTGCTCTTTGCTGCTGAGCTCCTCACCAGAACATGCTCATCCTGGACTTTTGTGTATTCCGTTTTGTGTATTCCATCCTGTTTCCTTCAGTCTTAAGAGAACAGCCTTCTGAATAAGGGTGAAAGAGCATTGCTGTTCTGCTGCTCTGAAATATTTCTAAAGCAATATATTCTCTATAACTTTAAATACATGGGAGAAAATGTTTTTGAAAATAGTGATAGAAGAGGGAAAAATGGACTAGTCCTTGTTTTTTGTATCTGCAGTGCTTTGACTGAAAGCCACAATATATGTAACTCTGTGCCAAATATTATTTTGTGAGAATGTTTTTTAATATTGTTGGTGATCAGAATTCCAGATCTAGCCAGTACTGGGTTACACAGAGTTTCAGGATTAAATATAATCAAGGATTTCCTGGGCTCACAGTTCAAACTGTGAGATATTTCCATAACAGTCAAGCCGACAGTCAATGGGAACAGCAGAGGTTTAGATCAGCCCTGCTAGGTCACATCTCACATTTCTTGTTACCTCTCTGTAACCCGTGCACTTCACACCATGCTGCTACAGCACTTGATTCAGAAGATATAAGCAGTAGCTGAACTCTATGGGAAAGGCTGTATTGAGCATAAAAACACCAATGAACCAGAAAAACAAAACAAATCAAAAAAACACCAACAAAAAAACCACCCAAAAAAAACCACCAAAAAACCAAACCCAAACAACAAAGCCCGAGGTTATTTATCTCACATTTTCCTGGTTCTGCTGTAAACCCACTATGCACTACCCATAAAGATATCTGCTGGCAGCAGGAGCCTGGGCAAACAGCAAATGTGCTGTGTAGTTAAACTGTTCACAAGACCTTCCAGGACAACTCATTGTTATCAACTGGCTGATAAACACAGGTCCCAGGTTTGTGCCAGGAGGGTTCTGCAGGTGGATCTCACCTCCTTCACACCCTCAAGCTCTGAAATGGATATTCCTTTGCTTTCCAGCCACAAAGCTCATTATTGTCTGAGGTCAAAAACAGAAAACAAATGCACAAAATGCTGTGTCCATTACATTAATCTTAATGGCTCTGAACGTGCACTACTGTAACCCGAGGATAGTTGAGACTTTTATTTCTTTAGGAGCAGAAATGGAAAAGGAGATGAAAATAAATGGAGCTCGAATCTCTGAGTGGTGGCAGCTGAGCATGGTTTGTATTCAAAAAGGTGAATTGTGTAATTCCTAGTGGTCTGAAGATTGTTTATTACCTTCTATGCCAGAAGTTAATTCATTTAACAATTATATTTCTTATTTGACTTCCTTGCTTGATTTGACAATCAAAGGGGGGACTGGGATGGTCTCTAACAACTGTAATTTCCTTCATCAATGTAATTACCTTCATCATTTTTCTTTCACTTTCTGTGGCTTGGATTAAATCAGTTTAACTGTGACAGACTCAAAGCTGCCAGTGTTTTCTGCCTCAAAGTTATGCATCCTACTTTTACTGTGCCTTCAGCAAAGGAGCTATTTTGTACTTCAAGTCTGCACATCTCTATTCAAGTTCAGATGTGTGAGACTTATTTTACCACCTTCTCGTTTCTGGATTGACTGGTGCTGGTAGTCAACAAATCAGGAAAAGCTGTGAAGTGATCAGGACTGAAAGGGAAAAATACTTAAAACATTTCCAATTTTATTTTACTTTCAGGTGTTATCATCATCCCAGGGACAACACAACTGACAGTACCTGACATCTGCCATGGATTGCTGGCTTCCACGGCCAGGTGTGTTATTACAATCCATGCTCTTGCTCCTGTGCTGGACTCGGTTGCATCCAAGTGCCAGTCTCTGAAAACAAAGCTGATTGTGTCTGAAAGCAGCAGGGCTGAGTGGCTGAACTTCAGCCATTTGCTCAAGTAAGTGCCTTCTACCTAAACCCTGTTAAAGTTATCTCCAGTGGAAATTTCCTCATGTTTGAACACCCTTGTACACTTGTATCTCATTAATGAATGAAATACCTCTAAGGGGGTAGGAGAAGAGGCAATTTAGTCTCTTTTTTATATACAGAAGCAATATTAAGGAATAGCCAAACTTTATTATAAAATAAGTAGCCTTATGATGTCTAGATTTGTTGTATAAGACCATAAAACACAGAAAAGTGGGCAGGAATGACCTCTATTGACAGCTGTGGCATATTTACTCTCTAAAAGACAAATATTCTATGCAAAGTATTCCATATTCCTTAAACTTGATGATAATGATGAACAGCTTTTCACTATAAAAGGCTAAAAAGGATACTGTAAAATGAATTTAATGTCTTTAGGAATCCTCTAGACAGATCACTGCCAGCCTACCTAGCTGGCAGGATAACTGCCCTGACTTCCCTGCTGCCCATGGCCTGGGCTGCCTCAGCTGAGTGCTGAGCTGGCCAGGAGGCTCTGGGAATTTGGAGGGGGAGCTCCTGGGCAGCAGCAGGCAGCAGGCAGCCCCAGGACACGGCTGGGCTGGGGAGGCAGACTGCCCACACACAGCCTTGCAGGAGCGGGCAGTGCTTGCACGCCAAGCCAACAAACAGCAGTCCTGGC